GGTTCAAGGGGGGCTGGTTGATTTGATAGCAATGAATGTCATGGTTCAAGGGTGGCTGGTTGATTTGATACCAATGAATGTCATGGTTCAAGGGGGGCTGGTTGATATGATACCAATGAATGTAATGGTTCAAGGGGGGCTGGTTGATTTGATACCAATGAATGTAATGGTTCAAGGGGGGCTGGTTGATTTGATAGCTATGAATGTAATGGTTCAAGGGGGGCTGGTTGATTTGATACCAATGAATGTAATGGTTCAAGGGGGGCTGGATGATTTGATACCAATGAATGTCATGGTTCAAGGGGGGCTGGTTGATTTGATACCAATGAATGTCATGGTTCAAGGGGGGCTGGTTGATTTGATACCAAAGAATGTAATGGTTCAAGGGGGGCTGGTTGATTTGATACCAATGAATGTCATGGTTCAAGGGGGCGCTGGTTGATTTGATACCAATGAATGTCATGGTTCAAGGGGGGCTGGTTGATTTGATAGCAATGAATGTCATGGTTCAAGGGGGGCTGGTTGATTTGATACCAAAGAATGTAATGGTTCAAGGGGGGCTGGTTGATTTGATACCAATGAATGTCATGGTTCAAGGGGGGCTGGTTGATTTGATCTGACAATTGGCCCGTACCCGTGGCTCTTCTTACATCAAGTGCAACAAGATATAAACCCTAAAGGTGTCGTGGCTCTTCTTACATCAAGTGCAACAATATATAAACCCTAAAGGTGTCGTGGCTCTTCTTACATCAAGTGCAACAAGGTATAAACCCTAAAGGTGTCGTGGCTCTTCTTACATCAAGTGCTGCAAGATACAAACCCTAAAGGTGTCATGGCTGTCCTTTCATTAAGTGCAACAAGATATAAACCCTAAAGGTGTCGTGGCTCTCCTTACATGAAGTGCAACAAGATATAAACCCTAAAGGTGTCGTGGCTCTTCTTACATCAAGTGCAACAAGATATAAACCCTAAAGGTGTCATGGCTCTTCTTACATCAAGTGCAACAAGATATAAACCCTAAAGGTGTCGTGGCTCTTCTTACATCAAGTACAACAAGGCTTTTGTTTCATATATTCACCTTCATTTTCTGTGGCAGGCGTGGGGCCTTTTGACATCGACCTTCATTTTGCGTGGCAGGTGTGGCACTTTTGTACATCGACTGTCCTTTTACGTGGCAGGCGTGGGACTGTATGACATGGTTGAAACGAGTCAAATTCTCATACGAGGAGTTTTTTTGTGTTGGTCTCGCTTTGGAACGCGTTTTTCTTCCAAAGTCTCGCGCCTGTCAGTAAATCTGATGTGTGTGTGTGTATGGCGGGGTTTCCATGAGATGTTTGATTTTGTGTTCTAAAGTGATGCAAAATGGCTGTGTTCTAAAGTGATGCCTGAGAGTGTGTTCCAAAGTGATCCTGTTACCACCAAGTGTCCACAGCTTCGTTGGCACGGCTAGGACAAGTGGCGCCGTGCCCCCTGCAGAAAAAAGTGAGAAGTTTTACATCTCTCCAGATGTTCCACACACACGCCCCTTAGCAGCGAGGCTTTTTAGGTGTCAGGTGAAAACGGAGGTCAACAGTTCAAACTATGATGCGTCCACAATTCATGCAAGATTCGTGATAAGGCTCAAAGGCCCTCGGCTTTCATTTCACAACCCTGTAAACGGCTTACGTCGTCAACCCCTGTGGCCAGCAGTTCACTTTACTTAGACGAATTACTAATTCAAAAGTGTAAATTCAGAAGTCGTTTTACGCGTCAAATTTTAGCCTGGAAAGGCTTTCCCCGAAGGGTTCATGCCACCTTGACGAATCTAGCATGAATCACACACTTGCTCAGAAACATCTTATCGAATTATTGATGTGGAATGCATCGTACGTGCAAAAAGACTTCAGTTAAACCTGACAGACACTGTGAAAACGGTTCCATTTCGTGGCGAGACGGAAAGAATCACCAAAATGATGTGACCACCAGCTTTGCAACAGCATCCAGGTGCGTCACTGCGGTTCCTTTTTTCTGGCGAGACGGACAGAATCACCAAATGATGTGACCACCAGCTATGCAACAGCATCCAGGTGCGTCACTGCGGTTCCTTTTTCTTGGCGAGACGGACAGAATCACCAAATGATGTGACCACCAGCTATGCAACAGCATCCAGGTGCGTCACTGCGGTTCCTTTTTCTTGGCGAGACGGACAGAATCACCAAATGATGTGACCACCAGCTATGCAACAGCATCCAGGTGCGTCACTACGGTTCCATTTCATGGCGAGACGGACAGAATCACCAAATGATGTGACCACCAGCTATGCAACAGCATCCAGGTGCATCACTACGGTTCCATTTCGTGGCGAGACGGATAGAATTACCACGTGCAGGTACAAGATACTGCGTCCAGTATCTCATGCACCAAATGTCCACAGCTTCGTTGGCACGGCTAGGCCAAGTGGCGCCGTGCCCCCTGCAGAAAAAAGTTCGAAGTTTTACGTCTCTCCAGATAATCCGCGCACACACACATACACACCCTTTTACACACAGTCGCGTTTACGCACAGATGCTTTTACACACAGATTCGTTTACACACAGACGCTTTTGCACACAAGCGTTTACACACAGCGGCTTTTACACAAAGAAGCTTTTACACACAGACGCTTTCACACACAGACGCTTTTACTCACAGACGCTTTTACACACAGACGCGTTTACACACAGACGTTTTTACGCACAGACGCGTTTACACACAGACGCTTTTACACACAGACTCGTTTGCACACAGACGCTTTTACACACAGACGCGTTTACACACAGACGCTTTTGCACACAGAAGCTTTTACACACAGGAGCTTTTACACACAGACGCTTTTACACACAGACGCTTTTACACACAGGCACTTTTACACACAGACGCTTTTACACACATACGCTTTTACACACAGACGTTTTTACGCACAGACGCGTTTACACACAGACGCTTTTACACACAGACGCTTTTACACACAGACACTTTTACGCAAAGAAGCTTTTACACACAGACGCTTTTACACACAGACGCTTTTACACACAGACGCTTTTACACACAGACGCTTTTACACACAGACGCTTTTGCACAGAGAGGTTTTTACACACAGACACTTTTGCACACAGACGCTTTTACTCACAGAGACTTTTACACACAGAAGCTTTTACACACAGACACGTTTAGACACAGAAACTTTTACACACAGGCGCGTTTACACACAGACGCTTTACACACAGACGCGTTTACACACAGGGTTACCGCAGAGGTTGCAAAATCGCAATTTTACTGCAGTTTTTGGCGATCAAACCTCATTTCGTGCGAAACGGTTGTCGCGGCACACTCAAACTCGCAATTTTACGTCAGTTTTTGGCGATCGAACCTCATTTCGTGCGAAAGGGTTGCCACGGAGGTTGTAAATCGCAATTTTACCGCAGTTTTTGGCAATCGAACCTCATTTCGTGCGAAAGGGTTGCCGCGGCACACTCAAAATCGCAATCTTACTGCAATTTTTGGCGATCGAACTTCATTTCGTGCGAAAGTGTTGCCGGTGAGGGTGTAAAATCGCAATTTTACCCCAGTTTTTGGCGATCGAACCTTGTTTTGTGCGAAAGGGTTGCGTTTCGTGCCGTCTCGTTGGCACTGCCACGCGCCTTCAAGACAGAAATAGAAAAGAAGGAGAGAGCAAGAGGGCAAGAGAGCAAGAGGGCAAGAGAGCAAGAGGGCAAGAGAGAATGTGAAGATGTGAAGATGTGAAGATGTGAGGATGTGAAGATGTGAGGATGTGAGGATGTGAAGATGTGAAGATGAGAAGATGTGAAGATGTGAGGATGTGAAGATTTGAGGATGTGATGAGGATGTGAGGATGTGAAGATGAGTGAAAATGAGAAGATGTGAAGATGAAGATGTGAAGATGAGCAGATGTGAAGATGAGAAGAGGTGAAGATGTGAGGATGTGATGGGGATGGAAGATGTGAAGATGAGAAGAGGTGAAGATGTGAGGATGTGATGGGGATGTGAAGATGTGAAGATGTGAGGATGTGAAGATGTGAGGATGCGAGGATGAGAAGATGTGAAGATTTGAAGATATGATGTGAAGGTGTGAAGATGTGAAAATGTTTGACAGACCCCCACTATTAGAAGAACCCTTCGCTCAGACGCGCTCGGGAAAAACCATGTTTCTGGCTCTTCCGTACAGCACAACTTGTGCAAAGGTGAAAATACCCAGGTGTAACTCAGACAGCAGGAGCGGCGAGAAGTCGCAAAATGGTGGTGAACGGAATGGCCGACTGTTTCACTGTACGTAAGCGAACTACCAGATTAAAGTGTGTAAATTCAGAGATCAGTTCGTATGCATTCACCCTGAAAAGGGTTCCTTCAAGTGGGTCCATGGCACCTTGTTGGAACAACCATGGAGATCACACTAGACAAGAACTGGATCAATGGAATGATCCGATGGAAACTGAATCCCAATAAGGTGCAACCAAACAAGATTGTAGATTTTAGGTAGGTCTCCATGAAGTAGTATGCAATCTTTGAGATGAAGTTTCGAAAACCAAGATCGCGAGCAAAGACTGGTTCAAAACAGGCCCCCCAAAAATAAAAATGATTCAATAAGTAAATAAGTAAACACCAGATTGCTTCAAACGTGCAAAGCAGGAACTGAAATGTCAGGTATAGGGGTTCTCGACTTAGCCCCATGCCATGTCAGCGAAAATGCAAATGACATAATCGGATTGCAGGTACGTCCAGCTGGCCAAGCTGGATATCCCATTTCGCTGGTAGCTTTGTTGGACACAGTTCCAGTGAAATGCTGTGTCCCCCTGCCTACATAGAAATTTTACATTTGTTCAGTCAGATGTTTCACACACACACGTGGTATATTATACATCATACATCTGCTGTTTCTATTCCTTTGCCGTGTTTTTGAACATGTCAGCACGTTTGAAATCCGAGATGCTTAACTGGACTTGTCGTGGCAGGTCATTGGCACGATGGGTGTGGGTGATGACTTCGTTTCCACAGAGCTTGGATTTGCCCCGGTCCATTTGAATCATAAGACCGCGTTGGGTGAACCGTGGCTGGTGGAGTCAACAACTTTGCGAGAGGAGACTTCGGGTTTGGCCTTTCGATATGAGAAAGAATTGCACAAGAAATGTCAGGACAACAGCCTGGAAAAGTGGGGCAATCTGGTCTATGGGATGCAGGTGGACGGCAACTGGGTCCAAGTCGGTGATCATTATTTGCCCATCCGGGTGAGTAAGAAGGGTGTGAGTTTGAAGGTCTTGTGGCGGCAGGACATTGCGATCCTCCCTTGGCAATCTTCTGACCATCGCAAAGTGCGGCTTTGCCTATTGGCTCCTTCAGGAGATTACTCAGTCTCAGGCACATTTACAGGCTGGGGGACGTCGGCCGAGAACTGCGAAGATCGTCTTCCACTGAAGGATCTTCAAATACCTGACATTTTGTCGAAAGAGTTGAAGGGTAGGCAGGTGTACTACATACAGCTTCCTGTTGCAGAGTTGCAAGATGCTCAATTCAAGTTCCGGCTTCATGAGAAAGGCTGGTTTACCGACTCTTTGCGCTGGGAATGGGAAATGAACAATCGCAAAGTTGAGTCTGGTGCTTGCTTCGCCACGGTTTCAAACATCTTTGTGTCGTGGGGCAGCCCAGAAGCAACTGACGATGACATGGTTGATTTCCTGAAGGTGGCCTTGTTCGGCCAAGTGCAGAAGGCATTGTTTGGCCAAGTGCAGAAGGGCTTTGACAATGCCGTGCGCGTGGTGGAAGAGGTCGAGCACAGCGTGCTTCACGTCACCTGTGTGGATCCATCAGGCCGACAGATGACCCAGCGCATGCAGTTCCAAAGCAGCATCACAAAGGCGCTTGAATACATGTTCTTCCGCCCTGAGATTTGGCAGCTTTCTCCTGGGCTGTACGTTTGGGTGGCGATGCAAGAACAGAAAAGGACTGGCATGCTCCGCTCTTTGACGTTCTTGGAGAAACTCATTGGAATCTTTGCTGATTGGCCGGTTCAGCTCACACAGCACCCAAAGCTGGCAGATCATGTGCATGAAACTGCTCAAAAAGCGTTGTTGGCATCATGTGCTGGTCGGGTTTCCTCCAAAGAGTGGCTGCAGGCAGCCATACAGATTCTCCTACGCTGCAAGGATCCAGAAAAAGCCAGGCGATCCTGGTGGCCCCTTGTTGTGGAGATGGCTGGACGGCTTGATCCAGACACTGAATCGCCCGACTGGGGAGCCATCCAGTTACATCCCCAGTTACATCCTGTCCACTTTCCACACTTCACACTGGACCTAGCTCTCCGTGTTGCTCTTCAACCTCCTGCTAGTGCTCTTGAGGTCTGGTCTTCTGCCACGAGATTCCTGGAACACTTTCAGCATCTTCGTGATCAGCAAGTTGACAGCGTTGCTGTTTGCCTGGCTTTGGATGAAGCTTTGGTGAGGCACAGCAGAAGCACTTCGATGAGTTGGACGGCTGTTGCAGTGGAACTTCAAGAATTCCTGGGGAAACTGGCCGAAGGTAGCTTCACTGAGCAACTGCAATACAGTCTGAAAGCTATCCTTGTCCAGAACTGGGACAGATGCAGTGGCCGTCTGAACGAAATTCCAGCATGTGGTCAGATCACCCAGAGTCTGGTACTTGTGGCTAAGGCAATTACCGATGATCCTCGCAGAGTGTACTTCGTGCCCTTTGAAAGAGGAGCTGCATACCACTGGTTGCGCTTGGCTGCCGTCATAGGAAGTGAACACCATGTGCCCTGAGTTGCATTAGTTTGATTCTTGACCAGTCGCAGTTTTTGGTGGGGATCCATTCATTTTGCGAAATAGTTAGACTCTGACATGAAGCCCAAAGACAGCAACCTACCTGCATACATCATTATGTTCTTTCATTGCCAAGATGTTGCAAATTCAAGTACCACCTCACACACCAGTTCTGCACGCTGCGCAATAATGCACACCGTAGTCTTGATATGCAAGAATCGTACATCACAAATGACACATATGGTCAGATACATCCAGGATATGGACGTGGGACCGCATCAGATAGCACAAGCAGCGAGCCAAGGCACAGGATGAGCAATGGATTGAAGGTGTTGCACACTTTGCAGCATACCTGTGCGAGCAGAGGATTTCATCAATGTTCACGAAGAACGCCATAGAGACCTTGTTTCTGCTGCGTGGCTCGCAAGCGTTGCAGAAGGCGCTCTTCGCCCGACTCTGGAAATACCATCGATCTGCAAACCGCATCAACGACATCTATAGGTTGCTGGGATTGCCTTCCACAGATTATTTTCAGGATGAAGCTACCTTGGCGTTCTGCGTTTCCATGCTGCAGTGCTACTTGCAATCGCTTGCAGCTGGAGACTGCTGGTGGGAGCACTGGCAACGATGGTTGCGGCGGGCTGATGAGCACGAGCAGAGTTGGTATGTGGAAGTGGTTCTGCGCTACACTTTGCTGTGTGCCTGTGAGGTGTCTCCTGGTGGCTTCTGCTTTTCCAGCACTTTTCCTGAATTGAGTCGCCTTCAATCCACATGGGGAGTGCCATTCATCAGAGAGGAACGCGAAGGAGAGCTGAAGGTGAAGTTGATTCTGCGACGCCCAGAGCTGTGGCAAACTTGCCTTGACATTGCGAAGCGTCGCCCCTGTGCAGTCCCACTCCTGAAGCCCCTGAAGGCGTCATTGAGTTCTTTGGTGCAGAAAATCTGCCAGGAAATTTTGACTGTCCAAGAGGTACTTGAAGCTGGGAATAACCTCACAGCATGGGAGAATCCAAGCTTCATAGAGTTGCTCAACCTGCACTCCGCATCTGAAGTTCAATCTCAGCTACGAGACATGATCAGCAAAGTTCGCTTCATGCAGAAGTTTGAGGTGGCCGTGAAGCACAGCTTGTTGCAGCTGTTTCCTCGGCTGGTGCAGGCTGCCAAAGAGTTTGCGACCTTTTTGCATGAATTCTTCATGAAAGCCAATTGTGATGCACACAAACCCGTAGCCAGTCAGATAGCAGAGCTTTCGATTCAGCTGACCCAGCTCAATGTGGATGCATGGAAGGAAGATTTGGAAGAGGAGAAGCTGCAGTTGAGTATTGCGGGTGTCTCAGCACCTAGCTTTGTCTCCATTCTGGCTGCCATTGAGACTCTTCATTTGGCTCGTTCTGAGAAGTACCGACCACTTCGTTCAATGTTTCAAGAGGCAGAGGAGAAGTTGAAGAGAAGCGAAAAGAAGATGCGACCGCAACAGCTTGGCATTTTGGATATGGTCTTCTTCCTTTACAAGGAACTCATGTGCAACTTGGAGGCCCTTTCTGAGCTTGGAAGCGAAGATTCTGGCTTGCCAGCGCAAGTTCTATGTTCCATTGAAAAACATTGGAATGAAGTTCCACCACAGCAGGTGCCACAAATTCTCGAAGAAGTTCAGTCTGTGACTTCCGTGTTGGGCACAAACCTTTCAAGGCTAGGCAATCGCTTGGAGGCCGTACTTCGAAGCAGGCAGACCGTGGAGTTTTGGAGGAGCTGCAGCCGAATTGTCACCAAATTGTCCAGTGCTGTTCCCAACAAAAGTATTCCAAACGGCTTCAAAGAAGATGAGACGAAACGGCAAGAAGCTTCTGTGGCAGCAATGCGCAGTGCCTTTGAGGGAGCTGCGCAGTCTGACATCGGTCGAAGTTGTCTCCTTTCCATGGAAGATTTGGACCGAGTTGGCCAAGTCACTGAGGAAACCCGCGAACATTTTGCCTTTTTGGGAAGGGGTGGCTTTGACTCAGTGCTTCGCCTTGTAAGCGCAATGGCGGAAGTTCCAGGTCTCTCATTTCTGAAAGTTCTCCTGGACACTGCGCAGAAAGGAGAGCATTTGGCAACCAGATTGGCAGACATCATGGAGGGTAGCCTCACTCCAGAGACTTTGGAGAGTGTAGAGAGGGCCTCTTTCATTTTCATGCCGCTCTGTGCAGCTGTATTGTCAGCCTTGAATTGCTCGATGGATGCGAACAAATTCCGCCTGATGGTTGAGGGCTGGTGGTCTGAAGGGATCCGAAGTTCCGCACTGCAGGCCAAATCCATCACCGACATCGGGGGTTTGTTGCTGAAAATGCTGCAACAGCTGTATTCCAAAGAAGGTCACAAGTTGAATGAATTCTTTGAAGGCTTGAAGTCTGCCCTAAGGTTGGGCCAGGTTGTTCAGCAAAAGCTGGAAGAAAATTCTGATGATGCGACAGCTGTGAGTAATACAGTGCATGGCATGGTGAGTGCTGGACATTTGGAACTCGTCCCCAATTCTGAGGGCACTCAATTTGAGGTGACTGGAGTCTTCGAATTCAACAAAGGCCATGAGATACGGGATATGCAGCAACTTACAGAGTGCTCCGACAAAGCCAGTTTGGCTGTGCCCAAGGGCAATGATGACAATCCAACAGCTCTGACGCAGGAGAAAGTGCAGGTGTTCACAGGGTGCATTGAAGGCATCATTGGCTTGCGACAGGAGCTTTCAGAACTGCTTCAGATTGGACATCCATATCTTGAGGACTTGGCCGACTTGCGATTTCCTCAGGAAGGAGAGGGCTTATCTGTCCTGACTGTGCAGGAACTCAAAGAGATGCTGAAATCAGCGCGGGATGCGGTTCAACAATGGTGCAATGCTTTGGACGAAACCCGAGCAGAGCACCCTATCATGAGTTGTGTTCCTGCTCGAAACATCACCAAACTCAGCCGTGCAATGTTGGAGAATCCGCTTTCAGATGTTCAAGCCTTGCTGTCGCTTCAGTTGAACGGTACCAATGGTACCAAAGGTACCCTTGCAGGCCCCACTCCAGAGCAGCTTTCGCTCTTGGCCGATGCTTTCCAGCAGTGCAAGTTCATCCTGGCTCAGAAGGAGACTCACAAACACTTCTTGCAGAGATTGGTGGAGGTTTTGGTTGGAGGCCTATTTTTTTTGGATTTTTTTTCTTTTACGTTTTTGGATTTTTTTTTGGGTTTCTTGTTTTATCTTGCTTTCTCCTTTTTTTTTTGCTTTTTTGCTTTTGTGCTTTTTTGTTTGTTTTTTTTTTGCTTGTTTGCTTTTTTTGCTTTTTTTGCTTTTTTGCTTTTTTGCGTTTTTGTTTTTTTGCTTTTTTTGCTTTTTTGCTTTTTTGCTTGTTTGCTTTTTTGCTTGTTTGCTTTTGTGCGTTTTTGCTTTTTGCTTTTTTTGATTTTTTGCGTTTTTGCTTTTTTGCTTTTTTGCTTGTTTGCTTTTTGTTTTTTTGCTTTTTGTTATTTTTGCCTTTTTTGTTTTTTTGCTTTTTGCTTGTTTGCTTTTGGCTTTTGGCTTGCTTTCCATGGCTTTTGGTGGTATGTCAAACTTGCACATTTTTCAATACACTAGTTTGAATCGACTATATTCATATATATATATTTATGTTTAAATTATATATATCATATATATACATATATATATATGTAAATATATATATATTTATATTATGCATGTATATATATACACTATATAATATATATATATATTGATATATTAATATTTATATATTTATATTGATATATTTATATATTTATATATTTTATATTTATTTTTATATATTTATATTTACATATAAATATATATTTATGTACCTATATATATATATATACATTCATATGTATATACATATAAATCATATAAATGTATATATATATAAATATAAAGAAGTATGTATCTATAAGTATATGTACTGTATTCCACATGTTTCCAGGGTGCATGTCGTGTAGTCTATACACCTTGAGTATCACATTCAACCCAGCACCTTGCATGTAAAATAGGTGTTTCCAATCTGCTTTGGCGGGGAGGCGCTGCGCCCTCCCCCCAATCCCCCCCCTCCCGCTTTTTTTAATTATTTAAATTCAAACTTGCACACTTTTCAATACACTTGTTTGATTCGACTATATTAATATTTTGTTAAAAATATATATATATATATCTAGACATATATATATAGACACACGTATACATATATATATATATGTATATGTATATGTATATATTTGCATTTATTATACACTTATATTTATATATATTAATGTACTTATATAAATGTATATATATACATACATATTAATATGTATATACATATCAATGTATATATATTTATATAATTATATAACTATAAGTATATATATATTATAAATACACATACATATTTACTTATAGATATACAGACGTATACACATATATATATATATGACATATTTGTGGTTGTTTTTATACACAACTTTGATCCCAACATAAACAACAAATAATCATGTAATTCTACCTAATTACATGTTGTATCCCTAAACCCTAAACCACACCCTGCATATACATACATACATGCATGCATGCATACATACCTACCTACCTACGTACATACATACATACATACATATATATATATATAGATTGATTGATTGATTGAAGAAAACCAAAGAAACCTTGCAGAAAACGATGGAAAATTGAAGAAAACCATGGAACAATTGAAGAACACTATGGAAAAATTGAAGAAAACAATGGAAAACTTGCAGAAAACCATTGGAAAACCATGGAAAAATTGAAGAAAACCCGGGAAAAATTGAAGAAACCAATGGAAAAATTGAAGAACACCATGGAAAACTTGCAGAAAACAATGGAAAATTGAAGAAAACCATGGAAAATTGAAGAAAACCATGGAACAATTGAAGAAAACTATGGAAACATTGAAGAAAAACATGGAAAAATTGAAGAAAACCATGGAAAAATTGAAGAGGCACGAACCCCAAAAAAAATTCCAAAACTGTAAAAAAAAAAAATACCAAAAACAATTCTGCACCCGTTTTGGTTTCCAACGTGCCAAAGGAAGCCATGACTACCTTGCCACCTTTGCATGAATTGGCCAAGAACTACCGCCAAGCTCGGCCGGATGATGCAACCACTACCAGCAGAATGCAGTTTCGTATCCCTCCCAAATTTCACCTGAAACGAGTTGTATTGGTGAAGGAGGAGCAGTCGCACGAGTCTGGATCGTCACCCTTGCAGAGTACTGCCTCAACCACCCTTCTGTCAATTTTCCTGTCATTGGGAGTGGGGCCCAGCCCTGAGAATGTCCTCTTGTGTGATTCAAGCACTACGAAGGATGATATACTGAGGTTTCTGCATCGAGTGACGCACGCAGCACACATGGCCGGGGAAGGAAATCAATCGGAGATTCATGGGGTCTTTGTGCATGTGGATTGCTTGCACATTGGCATCTTGCAGGTTCTTGTGTCTAGGGTTGAGGCAATGCATGCAGCTGTCGGCAAGCGCAAGGAAAGCTGTGGTGCCGTGGGGATTGAAGTGCGCTTAGTGTTCACGGTGACAAGCAAGGCGCCTCTCGCCCTCATTGAGAACCTGGAGAAAGATCTCTGCATGCAGCAGCCTGTGAAGATCTTGAAGTTATCCAGCATCAAATCATTCCTAGGCTCCAAGGACACTCGGGAGGCTTTGGGAAGTCATTGCGTTGTGTCTTCTGACTTTGCTGGTGATGGAAAAACCCATGCCATTCACAGGCAGGGTTTCTGGCCGGTTCTCGTGGAAAGTTGCCCAAATATTTGGTCCCAAAACAACTATATAAATCAGCTGCAGACAAGAGACAATCAATGGAAAATATGTCAACATTTTGGGCCATTTCCCATCATTTCTGAAGAATTCCCATCCCACGATGGTCATTTCCGCCGTGGCAGGGCTCCAGGTTGGCATCAGAATTCCTCCGTGACGAGCCTTTGGGGCGGAGCCCAAGCGCGTGGCCAGGCCGCCAGGCTCTTGCGAAAGGGCGGCGACGTTCGATGCCTTCATCTGGAACTCCATGGCTTTGAAGAGGGTCTGATGGGAACGGCTGGGGCCTATTACCCATGATTCTTCTTGGGGTGTTTTTCCAGGCCATGTATGAATGTATAAACATATATATTATACACACATACATATATATGTATATATATATATACACATATACATATATACATATATACATATATACATATATACATATATACTTTCATAGCCATAGGTCTAGGTGAGACCCGTTGGCGCCACTACAGCATCTATGCTCTCGGGTGAAAAAACTCTCACAAAGGTGCTTCACGGTTGAAGGCCCATGTTTTTATTTGTTCATTGTGTTCCCGGCTCTGTATTTCAAACGGTATGTGCTCATTGTGTTTGAGCCAGCAATCTGTCATGGTTTCATATGTCCACGCTGCTCTTGGGCGTCCCACCCTTCTGTGTTCAACTTGTTGTGGAAGGAGCGTTCTTGTTGCAAACGTTGCTTGGTGTTGCGGGTCTCTAGGTCTTCTGATGATATGGCCTAACAGTTTCCTTCGTTTGTCTCTTAAAATGTCACTTGATGGACGGATGATTCCATTTGCGCCTTCACCCATTTCCAAATTTGCACGTCTATATTCTTGGTTGGTGTTTGTTCGATCAATATATGTTGTCGACATTTTGAAATTTCCTGAGACCTTTCGATTGAAACGTGTCCAGTTTAGCTTCCGTGGCCTCTGTGGGTTGCAGTGCTTCCAAGCTTTGAACACTTGAATTTTCCATTTGTTTGACACTTGGGCTTGTTTCCAGAACATGTCCAGCTTCTTTAGTATAGGCGTTGTTTGTGAAATACGCCAGATTATTTCAGTTTTGGGATCCACCCTTTTGTTGAATTGAGTTCCTAGGTAGATGGTTTCGTCTACAGTTTTTACCGGTTGCCCATCAGCAAAAGTGATTGCATTGTTTCTATTGAACGTGATGCGCACGTATTTGTCATCAGCCTACAGGAGTTCTTGAAAGAACTTTCATGTTGTTGTCCGTCTTTCGAACATGAGGATCATTGTTCTTGCGCCTAACATCGAATAACAACACGTTCATCATCAAAATAAAAAAATAGGGGGACAGGGGGCATCCTTGACGAATTCCAGAATGTTTTTCTTCCATTCACTTTCTCTATTCTTGTGGACTGTCTTGAAGCAAGGATGTTCGTATAGAGCCTTGATGTTGCTAAACATTTTACTGTCAGTTTTCATTCTTTCCGGTAATTCCACTAATCTCATGTGACTAATCCTGTCGAAGGCTTTCTCCCAATCTAAATCACAGTTATGTTTTGGTGGCCAGCTTCTGCTATATCCTGTAGGCGTCTCACGCAGAACAGCGGTTCTGAGGTACTTTTTTCCCCTTCTGGACCCAAATTGCGTATCGCTAATAAGCTGATCAGTTGCGTCTGAAATTCGTGTTTGCAGGATTTTTGTCAGAATTTTGTATGATGAATCTAATGATATGGGACTGATTCTCGGGTAGTTCCGGGTTTCCTTTCTTGTAAATTGACACATCTTCTGCGTCCGCGAAATCATCTGGGTAAGACTCTTCGGTCCACATTTGGTTGAAGATTTGCGCACGCGTCATCAAGTTCTCATCGTCTAAAAGTTTGTAAAGTTCAATGGTTAGGTCATCTGGGCCTGGGGACTTGGATTTTGATGTACGTAAGGCTTCGTGTACTTCCTTAATGGTGATTGACCCTACATTCATTGGGGGTGTTGTGTCAACCGCACGCCTTCTGTCTACCTTGTCGGGTGGTAAATGGATGATGCTTGCCCGATGCTTTTGTTCAAGGTGTTCCGTGAATATCTTTTCACTTATAAAAAGACGGCTTGAAGTCGGATTTCTTCAGTTTGATTCTGATGCCTTTCCATTTTGCTCGAGAAGATAAAAAGTCTTCGAGGAGCCGCATTTTCCAAAGTTTCTTGTCACGCTTTGCGGACGCTTAATAGTTGCAGTTAACTGTTGTTCGAGTACTGTATCATTATGTGTCCAAGCTGCTTGTCGGTTTTCAATCAAATTCCAAATTGCTGCAGAGATGTAATGCTGCTTTTGTTCATGTGGAATTTTGGTAAGGAATCTACCCACGGCCTGCTTGATTGCTTGCAAAAAGTCTTGGTTATTCCGCTGTATGCTTTCCCTTGACGTGTCATATGTGAAATTCGATTTGATGTTAGCGTTGAAAAGCGTCTTTGCTACTAGGCTTGGGTTTCGGTATCTGTGGAGTTTTTTTTTCTTTTCTGTTGATTGCTCTGTCCAAGTTTGATGCGGATGTCTGCAGTCAAAACTGCGTGATCTGTATCAATGGCTATGTCAGGTCTGCTTTCAACGTGAACTATTGCGTTTTTCCAGCGTTTTGGGCATAGAATATGATCTATTTGTATCTATTTGTGCGAATCTTTCGGGCGTCCATGGTGGCGCAAAGCCATCCGTGGTAGAGAACTTGAACGTACATTGTTTTCGTGGGGGTTTAGAAAACTATGTGCTTGCTATTGAATAATTGTTATATTTGCAACAATCGGTTATGTGACTCGTAGATGTTTGTTATGTTGTAATTTCTTCCATTTGCCGAAATCTTTGGCTCTATGATCCTGTCATTTACCGGTGTACGGTGTACAGTCTAAGACATAGGGGTTGCATTGAGGAGAAATGATGAATCCTACTCCGTGGTGTTCATTTTGTTCTCTCCGGGACTCCGGCCTTCTCGATGCGCGTTACAGCTCTATGCGCTGTCTTGCCTGAGAAGTAGAACGTGTAGCCTTCATGTTTTTCGGTAGAACTTATTGGTTGTTTGTCTCTTGTAGGGCCATTCTGTCTATATTGTGATGTTTCATGACATGTGTAAGCTGCTGTCTTTTTGAGAGTCCAGCCAGCCCTCTACAATTCAGCGTGGCGACTTTGAGCTTTCGACCATAATTTAGAGATTCGGCGACTGCTTCACTTGTATGTTTTGTTGCCGGCTTGGGTTCGGAACAGTTGTTGCGTGTTTTGAATATTCTTTAGAAAAATCGGGTAGATCTGTTTCTTCAATAGCTCCTTCGGGCGGAATTAAATGTTTTCAGTAACTCCGCTTTGCTTACTGGTGCATGTTTTGAAATGCTCTTGAGCAAGGCCTTTCCGCATTTTTGACTGGAAAGATCGTATTGTTGTGTTATTGTGGCTGTAGTGGTTTCCTGGGTTGTTTTTGGTACTAGTGCGTGCGCAACCATTTTCCGCACTAGCGTCACATCTGCTTGTTTAATTTGTCTCCCAGTTTTTCGGTTCGCTTTTCTGATTAGATTTCTCTTTGCTAGTTTTTCCTCGATTTTGTTCCTATTCCTCATTCTGCGTCTTGTACTTCTACTGTTTACATTGCCCTGTTGGTCCAAGTCCTCGCTAAACTAGGCCTTTGCCAAAGGCCTGGTTAAACTAGGCCTTTAGGACTGAGGTCTTCTCTATGTGATTAATTTTGAGGTCGTATTTTTGTGAGACTTAGCCGAACAAGGTCCCAACCCCAAAGATATCCAATGCTTGAAAAATAGAGGGCACAACTTCGAGATTTGCGAAAATAGTGACACCGTGAAAAGGCCATGAAAAGCCAGTAAAAAGCTGTGAAAAACCCGCAAAATCAGGTTTGTACAAAAAATGCAAAATGAATGGTTTTGCGATTTTGTGACCAATTTTTCTCATGAGTGCTCCTGCTCTTTGTGGCTGCTGCTGATCTTACTGTGCATATATTTTTTTTTTCAAGGTATGAGTTTTTGAGGCCTTTAGTCATTTAGGTCCTTTACCCTAACGGCGGCGTTAAGCTCGTCCTTTGGACTGACTGGGTTGTAAGCTTGTGGTTGAATCTGTGCAGATGTCGGGGTGTAGGGTTTCTGGACGCGGCTAGCACTTACATGCTGCGCAACCTTCTCGGCTCTTCTTGTGACGGTACCCAGTAAACTGCTATTACAACACGCGCACGAACATTTTTTCCCGCCGCAGGATTCTCATATTTGCTTTGGCGTCGGTGACGCTTCTCAAATTTTGGCCCAAAATGTGCCTTCTCAAATTTGGGTGGCTCCGAAGATGCCTTCTCAAATATTGCCTCTTTAGGCTTCTCACATACTGTTTCCTTTAGTCACTCCTTTGTTTCCATTCCTGCCTCTTCCCATAGTTTTTCTTCTACTGTCTTTTCATAGTCTTCCTCTTGTTGAATCTCCTTCTGTGATATATATATAGTATTTATTATATACATGAACTTATATAGTAATAAAAATTATCCACGTACAAGATTGGGATCATCAATCAATCATCATATACAGGTTCTTTCAAGTTATATCACTTACATCCCCACTTGACGCTTCATGTCCTTATTCTTGGATATGTTTTTTACCCGCAAAAATGAGGATTTAACTGTGGTCAGTGTTAAATAAACCATATGAGTTTGTCTGAAATCCAGGTACCACCATGCCATCCCAGGGTTCAAGAGCTCGTTTTCCCTATTCTCTGCTCTTATTTGGGGATATACCGTCTTTCGAAACACGCCCGTGTACCCAACATTCATTTCCAAGAATGGGGGGAAGAATCTACATCTCATGGGGATATAAATATACATGTAGCCGGTGTTTTTTAATCATAACTGCCTATGATTCTTTTCTTTCACTGCAACGTCAGTGGATCACCAAAACGGCCGCAGGTGGTGGCGTTGATGCCGACATGTTGCTCTTGGAGTTGCTACTGTTCCGCTGTGTATTTGATCCCGAGCGCTCAGAATGGACACGGCTGCCAGCTCGCACCAAGATCTTCGTGGAGGTGGCGAACTCCATCAAGATCTCCCATGGAGCTGGAGCTGCTGGAGCTGCTGGAGCTGCTGGAGCTTCGACTCAGCTGATGTTTTTGTCCGCTCCCATTTTGCAGGCGATGCCGGAGCAACTCAAAGTAGATCCGCACTTCCCATTTGCTTTTGATCCTGTAGATTTTCATCCTGAAGTAGCTGCGAACACTGCCTGTGACTTTGCCATTGCTGGTGCAGCCTTGCTCTTGAGGCAAAGGTTGCAGAGATTGGTGGGATGGCAAGACGATGCCGTCTTCAAATTCCTCCCAGATGGCTCTATCGTTGCCGGAGATCACGTGCGGTTGCTGCAGGAGTTGTCAGGGGAGGTGAATGAAGCTGCCCAGAGAGCTCTGCAAGACGCCTGGCTTCGGGGCATTGGTGTTGAAGCGGACAGGGAGCCTCCGGTGTTGTCCAAAGCCACGGTGATGGCTTTCCTCACTTTCTTGGCAAATTGGACCAGGAATTGGGCCTTTCACGCCTTCCACTTCGAGCAGCAGCTGGAGGGAGTTTCCGGTCTCGACATACATGGTACCTTTGTTCCAGTGCTGAAGGCGATGATCGGAATGGCTGCGGCAATGTGTTTGCGATCTTCAGCTGCCGAAGCTCAAGAGCAGCAACAGGCCCACAAGACGTTTAGGACGAGTGAGGATCAGCGAGCCTCTTCACCTGCTTCCTTGTCTGAAGCTATGGCTGCTAGAGTGGTAGATGGCCGCACCAGTGCGTCCACAGTTTGGGCCTTCAACACTGGCGGCTCTTTGCGGTTTATTGGGAACAGCAGTGAGGTTCCAGCTGCCTTGAAACATTTGTGGAAGACTGTGAGGGATCAAACCCGGCAGGCTTTTCCAGAGCCGCTTACCAACTTGGGCATAGCAAGCCAAGAGAACTTGCGGTCTTTGCTACTGGAGGTGATGTCCGGACATGGATTGACACCAGAAGAACTCAAGGAGACCTTTAAAGGCTTCGTCTTGACCCGAGACAACATGATCAAGCTGGTAGATGTGGCTGAACGATTGCGAGCCAAGTTGCTGTGCATTCTCATGGGTGAGGCGGGGTGCGGGAAGACAGTGCCATGGCTTTGCTTCAGACGTTTTAGTTTTCACTAGTGTGTTATTGCGAAGGGACTGTTTTCTTAGTGCGCAGGGCATGCAAAGTCATTGGAACATTGCGCACAGATTAGTCATATCCTGTGATTAAAATAAAAACATGTTGGCATTTCATGTGCTCATTGTGATCAAACTGATTGCTTTTCATTAGTTGCATGCAATACCTAGCACTCAAACAGTCCTGATTTAGCATGCTACTGGAAACCTCCTTAAGTTGATAAGGTGCAAGCCTGGTTTAGATGGACTTGCGGTTGTCTCAGGTGTTCTCTCTCTCTCTCTCTTGTTAAACCACAACGTGTTTCAAGCGGTGGTATCACAATTTGCTTTTCAATATGTGTTTCCACGTATATCAGAGTCCTCTGAACGTGACAAGGTCACAATTTTGTTTCTGGTTTGATTGGCCATAAATATCACAACCTTGAGACCTTGAGACTTCATTATTTGCTTGGACAGTGTGTCGCCTTATCAGCACGGCAATGATAGAATTTTCTTGGAATCTCTGAGGTATTGCTACGCTTGACCACTCGCTTGCTGGGTGCTGAAACCTTGGACGAACAGCAGGTGCATGCTGGGACTACCGAGAAACAGATCCTTGACGCCGTGGATGCCGCGGAGGAGCGTGCCAGGGTGCGGCAGGCAGGTTTGAAAGATGGCAGTGCGGAGCAGATGGTGGTGCAATTCTGGGATGAAATCAACACCTGTCCACATCAGCCACTCTTCAAGCAGATCCTGGTTGATCGCATCAATCCTCGGACTGGCCAAGCAATTCACAGTTCCTTGCGCTTTGTTGCGGCCTGCAACCCTTGGCGCCTCGCAAGCCAAGGTTCAGTCTTGTCCGTGGGATTTGAAAGCCCAGTATGCAAAGATGATCGCTTGGCAGGCTTGGCATATCGAGTGCACCCGCTTCCAGAAAGTCTTTTTGTACACCTGTCATCATTTGGTCAGCTCACATCAGAGGCAGAAGTGGAGTATGTGAAGGAAATGGCAAGTCAACCACCTCGGCTCTTGGATCCTGATGATCAGCCACTGACAGCACCACCTGTATCTGTTGAGATGCGCAGTCACGTGGCCTCAATTTGCCTCGTGCTGCACAACTTTTTCCGTGCCTTGGGGTCCTGTGTGTCCTTGCGAGACCCAACTCGTTTGTTGAGGATTTGGGGCTTCATCCGCTGGGAAATGGAACAGCGAGACTCCATCATGCATTTCGATGGAAGACAAATGTCTCCGCAGGCAGAGCTTGTCTCCATGGTACTGGCTATCCATTTAGCCTATGAGTTGAGACTTTCTGAGTTCAAGCTGCGTCAACAGCTTTTGCAAAGTCTCTTTGAGCCGTCCAGTGAGCTGAGCAAACTCTTCCAGAAGCATTTCCCGGGTGAGTGCAAAGATGGACCGGAAGGGATTGAGATTTGGAGAAGGATTGTGATGGAGGAGCAGAACTATTGGCTCAACGCCATTGATGTGCCGGACAATGTGGCCAAGGTCCGTGCCTTGAGAGAAAACATCTATGCTGAGTTGATATGCTCATTGACTCGCACACCGATTCTCGTTCTTGGAAAACCCGGATGCTCCAAGTCGTTGACCGTATCTCTGCTCATTACTGCCATGACCAATCCACATGCCAAACAGTTGTTGCACTTGGCCAGCTTCATCGTCCAGCCGCACCAGGGAAATCGTCAGTCCACGTCCAGTTCCTTGCTGCAGGTTTTTGACCGAGCTCGTGCGCGACAGATCAAGCTCCGGGAGCTGAAGAATCGGAAGACCCGGCCCTTGGCGTTGGTGCTGTTGGATGAGGTGCCGCTGGTTTAAAACATGGTTAAACGATGCCATAATCATAATGATGTCACTGATTTCATACAAAATGGCGTTGCATGTTGCTTTGATATGGGGATGAAAACTTGAAAACTGGATCACCACCCTTCTGTTTCAAGGTCTAAACAACTTGTGACTGGGATCCACCCAAAGATGGTATCAATAAGTTTTGACCCATCCGGCTGCGTTGGCACCCAAGTTCGGAGGACTTTTGCAATTTTGAATTCCCAAATTTAGATCAAAACCAGGTGGGTTTGGCGGAGCAAAGTCCACACAATCCGCTGAAAGTGCTTCATGCGCGCTTGGAGCCGCGTCGCTTGGAAGACGCCGTGTCCGTGATCGCCATCTCTAACTGGGAACTCGACCGTTCCAAACTGAGTCGCGCCCTGGTGTTGGCGTGTCCCCCACCATCGCATGCGGACTTGCGGGAGACTGCATTGGCCATCATTCGGGCATACTTGGACCATGAGACTCACATCCGCAACCAGTTGATGGCCAGTTTAGAACCCATGGCCAAAGCCTTCATGGAGATTTTGAAAAATCAAAGGCCTGCAGACTTCCATGGTCTCCGTGACTGGTATGGTCTATGCTCTTTTGCTGCACGTTTGTTGTTGGCGGCAGATGTGCAGATGGGTTTGAGCTCAGAGGAAGTGCAGCAAGGAGCCTTGATGGGCGGAGTTTCTCGTTCTCTCAGTGAAGAAGCAACTCGATTGGTGAAACTGTGCCACGAGAAGCAGCTGAAATTCGTGCCGGCAGTTTGGGCGTTGCAGCTTGCGGTGCTCAACAATGTCAGTGGACATGATGATTCGGAATCATTGGACAAGATGGTTGAAAGTCTGAGCAAGCCGCAGACTGGAAGTGAGGGAATGGATGGGGTTCCTTTGTTGTCAGACATCTACCCCGAGGTCCTGCGAGCTTCCAAGCGGTTGGACAGTTTGCTTGGAGATGTGGATGGTCGCCATATTATGGTCATCACAGACTCACCGGGGCCGGTCATTGCGTGGATTCAGCACCGAGCTCCTTTGATCGGCAACTGGAATCCTGAGAGCCTGGTTGGCAGTCCACTGGAGCATGACAAGGTCAGCACAGACATTTATGCGCAGTCAATGATTCAGGCGGCCATTGTGAGCATGGCTCAGGAAAGACGACTCCTGATTCTTCACAACGTGGACCCCATCTATGCTGCCTTGTATGATGTCTTCAATTCCAACTACAGCCGTGCAAGTGGCCCGAACAGTCAACGGTATTGCCGTATCGCCCGCGAGGGCTTTTGCAATCCTCGCTGCGCTGTCGCGGACCAATTCAAGACCGTCTTGGTGGTGACGAGGAAGCGGGCAGCCCAGTACGAAGCGGCTTTGTTGAACCGCTTCGCCAAGCTGGAGGCGAGCTGCGCTCATTGAGAGAGATTGCGCTGATTTACCTTGATTCTTGCTGATTCTTGCATCTCTCATCACAACCCCCACCAGAACTATATAGTTCTTTCCAGTTTGATATTATTATATAATATGGCTTCTGCAGTTTGTTATGAAATGATGTGAGCTCATGTGGAATTTGCACATCTTGTGCACGTGCGCAGCGACTAGTGACTAGTTAGACTAGTCACTACGTGGCCAGAGTAAGAACATACCAGGTGGAGCAATCCGATTTGCTTCCAGAGCCAGAAGAAGTTTGGGACTTTGAAGACCAGGCCGGCAACGGCGCGAGGGCCAAAACGAAACAACGACCGAAATATGTTGGTTTCTGTAATGGGACATACTCGCAACTCCCGCGACTGTATGAATTTAGATGGCCATGGATTTCGGAGGTCAGAATTTCAATGGTGCAAAAAGAGTTTCCCTGTTCATTCTGATCATTCTGCTTGGATGTTTTCTTTATCGTGTGTTGTGCAAGTTTTGAACGGGCCGACCCACGTCCTAGGTGAAGCGGATGTGTCCAGCATTTCACGGCAGATACGGTGAACAAGCTACCGATGTGGTGGCAGCTTGTCCGATGGATTCGGCACAACCAGGTTTGAAGACGCTTTTGGAAACTATCACATTGTCAGCCCTCATGCGCACTGAGAGTGACTCGGGAAGCCTGTCAAAGGAAGCTTTGCTTTGTCCATTGATGTCTTTGGAGTTTTCGCCACATGATATCAAAGATTCTTTGGTGTGGCTCAGCCCCAACTCAAAGTCCTGCTTTGGCGCTCTCCTTTGGGACATCTACAGCAGTCCAAGGGTTGGGCAGAGCCATGTCGTTTTTCCGTTGCTTGTCCCGACGTTCAGCGCCCCAAATCAAACTCTTGACATCAGGGCGGTGCCTGAAGTTGAAGACAGTTTGAAGGTTTTCTCTGAGATACGGATGGACAACATTGTCTCACAAGCTACTCTCCGTGACTGCATGAAGGACCACACTGAGAAAGTGACCAAGCAGCTTCAGAATGCAAATGGGAGACTTCTTTCAGCACTAAGCGTGCACATCAGCATGAAGCAGGAGAATGCACAGGACCTGGTGGATTATTTGCGTTTCCAGCTTGAATGGTATGCTCAGGAGCTGGTTGGAGTGTTGCAACACACCAAGGCACCAGCTGTGCATGTTCTTGCTTTGGTTGTCCATGGCATCCGAGGCAGTTGCGGCCCTGATCGCAGCATTCGGCCATTTCTTCTTGCTGGCCCACTGATGCCACAGCCACTGAGCAGAGATGCAGCTTCAGTGCAGCTGCACGAATGGACCGGCGTTGCAGTGGATCATTTTTCTCACATTTTGCCTTGGGAAATGCCTTCAACCGAACTCTTGCATGGCAACATCAAAGGCATTTTTGGCTTGGAACAGGAAGGAGGAATGGAGCGTTTTCGTTTCATCTTGGCAGATGCTTTGCCACATGTCGTTCCTGGCTTTGGGCTTGAGCAAAATGCAGATACTTGGATTTGGTGACAACGTATGAAAAGTTTCTTGCTGTAACATTTTTTCTCCAATTTGTTGATCCACCATATGGCCAATCGAGGTGTATGATTCTTAATTTTCGTTGGGCCATGTTGATCAAATTAGCAAATCCAAGGATAGCTTCACTATCATTCAAACCTTGATGCAAGAGATTCACAACAAAGACGAGCTGGTGAAGTGCATTCAGGCTGTTCTGGCTGATCAGCTGTCTCTGGACCAGGCCGGGCCCATAAATTGCAGCTGTCTCTTCAAATTATTTGCTGAAATTTGTTGTTCTGTCCTACTGGTGCTTAGTAGGATTTAGTAGGGAATGTGGGAATGATCCAGAATAACTATTGAACAATCATCCCATTCTCCTATTCCCTACGTTTAGCTCCCCTAAGTTGTTTCATCCCATAGTTCTTTTGCGCATCTACCTCACTTGGTGCAGCCCAAGTCGTGCAGGCGAATTGGCGATCCGAGGTGGCCAAGAATGTGAAGCTTCTGAGACGCACGGGACCTTTTCAGCTCGCCCTGCTTTCACATTTGAGGCAAGACGAGAAGATTTTGCCCGTTCTTGAGGCAGTGTGGAACCAAAGTTTGCACAGCAGCTGTCCATTTTTCGCGGACGCCACTGATCTGCAGAAGGCCCACTGGAGACCGGTGGCTGAATCGCTTCTGGGAAGCCGCTTGGATCAGATGGCAATGCTGTGCCAACTTCATGATGTGCCAGCTTTGACGATGCCAGGAAGTCCGGCTGTGATGCAAATCATATTCCCTCAGCTTCAAGGATTCCAGGGTTTCCAACAGAGCGATCATGATTTCAGTCCGGTACTACTGAACCATTCAACTCAGCTAGCTGCAGTGCTCCGGCGTTGCTTACCAGATGCACTTTGGCAGGTGCTGAAGGCAGCTGGCGAGGCTATGTCTCATGGTGAAGTGGGTTCGTTTGGCGAAGATGTGATCACCGAAGTGGCAACGCGAGCGTGCCGCATTGTGCAAGAGTGGCCTGGGAGTGCCATTTTCACATCTGTCCGGTCCCATCTTCAAAGTCTCATTGGTGCCTTGCTTCGCAGCATGCCCGGCATGCCCAGCACCCAACAAACCGACCTTCCAGCTGGTGACATCGCAACAGAGCTGCCTGATAGCAATGCATCCACAGCTCTTTTGCCCGCGGTGGCTGCCATTTTGTTACTCCCAGTGTCAGAGCAGGTCTGTGATTTGCAGTTGCGATTTCCGACGACCAGGGCAGCCAGGGCCTGGCAGAACTTCTTGCCAGCCCAGCCACTCCTCAATGGAACTTGGCAGAACATCAGACAGCATGCCATTCAAGGAGCTTTCCAGCTTCATGCCGCAGAACTAGAAGAGTCCTTGTGCACTGCCCCGAGCCAGAACTTTCAGGACGCCCAAACTCCCAACCAACCAGCTTTGCGAAGTGGGGTACTGACATTACATTCTGGGAATGAGGCGCCCAGAACAACCCAGCGATGTTGTCGCAAAGAAACTCGATCTTTTTTGAAGATAGTAATACTTGCAGTCTTGGCGAAACTGTTGAACCCTAAGGAGCTTGCGATAGCCTTTCTTCCTGCAGGAACCTTCCCTTGATAGACTATTGAGTACAGATGGGGATGTCTGGAACCTGTTTGTTGCGGCTGAATCTTTCACTTCCTTGGGATCAGGAGAGTTCTTGCTGTGCAGGACTCGTTGAACCTTCTGAGTCAGCTCTCCGTGTCCATCGAAGAATTTATTATCACAGTTGATCGCCCAGACACGAGTTTGGTGTCTTGCCTAAAAAATTGTGCATGCGTCAGAAACATTGACACTATTAAAAACTAAAACCCATTTTGGTATGGTTGGACGCTGTGACAGTTTGCTTCGGTCCTTTGGCAACTTTCCTTTTGAAGCATACCCTCATGTCAACTGTACATGTTGCAAATCCATGCAAATGACTTGTCGCCGTGGTCCTATAGCTGCTAGATGCTGCTGAAGAACAAGCTCAGCACAATCCTTGTTTTAACTTCAGAGCAAGTCGCACACACACACACATCATATATATATATATATACACACTGTATATTTATAAATGGGCTAACGCCCTGGTGCCGCCGACCCCCTTTCAAGGGTGGAGGAAGGAAAGCGCACAAAAAATAAAATAATTATACCCTAACCAGAGAAAGAAGAAGAACAAGTCTGCGTTGCAGTGATGGCAACAATGAAACTTTATGCGATTGATGACTTTTTAATATAAACATAGATTGTGAGTGCTTGAAGGATCAAAGTACTCCACAGTTCGTGTTGGCAACTGTTTACCAAAGACAAATTCATGCATCATGCAGAGGTTGTGGCAGATTGAATACAGGTATGTCATCTTCATCAGCATCATCAGCATCATCAGCATCAGCATCACCATAAGAGGGATATTGATAGATGAGAAGTTGTTGAAACCGCGGAAAAAGATAGGTTATGTCAAATCACAATGTTTTGTATTTATAGTTTATAGGAATCATTTATAAACGGGCCATGTTCGTTCATTGTCGTTTAGCAGGTAGATCATCAGATAGTTTGGCCTTGCAAAGTGAAACAAGTTACCGCAGGGTCACAGATTCGAAGTCCATCCTTTCGATCTGATGGATCCTCCTGATCCTCCTGGCGATCCAGCTCCACCAGTAGACGAGGACGGAGAATGACGGAGTGCTCTAACAACAAATGCTTGTGGCCGGAGTGCTGGGTGCAAGCAGCCGCGAGGGACTTGACTGCAACGCTCTAACAAAAAATGCTTGTGGCCGGAGTGCTGGGTGCAAGCAGCCGCGAGGGATTTGGAGCGTTTTAGGGATTTAGGGGTTTTACGGCTGGCAAACGGCAGACTTGAACGCCCTAACAACAGAGGGCTATGGAGACTTATGGGGGCAAACGGCAGGCTGCAACGCTTTGATCGAAGCAACAAATGCCTGTGGCCAGAGTGCCTGATCGAAGTTCCACACCTGCGGTGGTCTTGTGGCCGGAGTGCTGGGCGCAAGCAGCCGCGAGGGATTTGACTGCAACGCTCTAACAAAAAATGCTTGTGGCCGGAGTGCTGGGTGCAAGCAGCCGCGAGGGATTTGGAGCGTTTTAGGGGATTTAGGGGTTTTACGGCTGGCAAACGGCAGACTTGAACGCCCTAACAACAGAGGGCTATGGAGACTTATGGGGGCAAACGGCAGGCTGCAACGCTTTGATCGAAGCAACAAATGCCTGTGGCCAGAGTGCCTGATCGAAGTTCCACACCTGCGGTGGTCTTGTGGCCGGAGTGCTGGGTGCAAGCAGCCGCGAGGGATTTGACTGCAACGCTCTAACAAAAAATGCTTGTGGCCGGAGTGCTGGGTGCAAGCAGCCGCGAGGGATTTGGAGCGTTTTAGGGGATTTAGGGGTTTTACGGCTGGCAAACGGCAGACTTGAACGCCCTAACAACAGAGGGCTATGGAGACTTATGGGGGCAAACGGCAGGCTGCAACGCTTTGATCGAAGCAACAAATGCCTGTGGCCAGAGTGCCTGATCGAAGTTCCACACCTGCGGTGGTCTTGTGGCCGGAGTGCTTGGTGCAAGCAGCCGCGAGGGATTTGACTGCAACGCTCTAACAACAAATGCTTGTGGCCGGAGTGCTGGGTGCAAGCAGCCGCGAGGGATTTGGAGCGTTTTAGGGGATTTAGGGGTTTTACGGCTGGCAAACGGCAGACTTGAACGCCCTAACAACAGAGGGCTATGGAGACTTATGGGGGCAAACGGCAGGCTGCAACGCTTTGATCGAAGCAACAAATGCCTGTGGCCAGAGTGCCTGATCGAAGTTCAGCTGCGAGGGATTTGAAGGGCAGGCTTGAACGCCCTAACAACAGAGGGCTATGGAGGCAAACGGCAGGCTGCAACGCTCTAACAACAAATGCTTGTGGCCGGGGTGCTTGGTGCAAGCAGCCGCGAGGGATTTGGAGCGTTTTAGGGGTTTTAAGGGTTTTACGGCTGGCAAACGGCAGGCTTGAACGCCCTAACAACAGATGGCTATGGAGGCAATGGAGGCAAACGGCAGGCTGCAACGCTCAGGCGCGAGGGATTTGGAGTGTTTTAGGGTTTTTACGGCTGGCAAACGGCAGGCTTGAACGCCCTAACAACAGAGGGCTATGGAGGAAGCAGCCGCGAGGGATTTGACTGCAACGCTCTAACAACAAATGCTTGTGTCCGGAGTGCTTGGTGCAAGCAGCCGCGAGGGATTTGGAGCATTTCAGGGGTTTTAGGGGTTTTAGGGGTTTTACGGCTGGCAAACGGCAGGCTTGAACGCCCTAACAACAGAGGGCTATGGAG